CCCTCCCTCCCACACCCCCAAGCATTTCGTCACCTTTCCCGGTTGGAGAGAGGCACTGTGAGAGTTACGTGTCTTGCTCAACTGAGAACACAACACAATGACACCCGGCCAGCGTTCGATCCCGGACCGCCGCTAGATCCGGAGTCCAACTCGCTAACCATTAGGTGTCCGCGGCGTCTCCACAAGATTGGAAGCCAAGACAATACTGATATGAGCAAGAAAACAATCATTTTTAGGCAAATACGGCCAATCAGCTTGGGAATGATTGGGAAGGAGAGGGGTGAGGCTGAGGCATAAAAGAAAGGGAGGATTAAAAGAGGTTTTACGATGAATACTTACCTTCAACCTTGACAGTTGCCGATTTCAGCCAATATCCTTCTCCGAAATCTGTGGCTCTACACTCGTAATCACCTGCATCTGACTTGCTGACATTATCAAGCTTGAGCTCACTACGAAAAGCTGAAGTGAAGACATGCTTCTTAGGTACAGGTTCTTTGTCTTTAAACCAAGCGATGCTGTGTGTTTCTGCACCAGAGACTGAACATGTGATGGTTAAGCTCTCGCCTTCTTTAACGACAGAAAGTTGTTGCGACACCTCTGGTATGGGTGGTGTTCCTATAAGGACAAAGGATTTGATATACACTGTACGTTTATTTTCCCCAGTATTTGGCAGCTGTTTGCAGGGTATCTAATAAACCCTTTTACTCCCTTTGTGTTGTCACATGGCAAATGGTGCATGCATGTGAACCCAGTATAGTATAGTTTCGTCTAGTGTAATCGTCTTCAGCTGTCAGAATAGCCTTGACAAAGACTGATTGTATGTTGGTGACTTACCGTACGTTTCTAAAACGTGATTTTTGTTCGTCGAGGGGAAAATTAGTTCAAAGATTACTTAAAGTTATCCAAGGACTTAGAAGATTCCAAATATTTCAGATGTTTTCGAAGATGACCCAAATAATATTTCAAAAGATGGCCCGAGGACTTCCGACCCGTGATTTTCGAACGATATCGGAAGATCTGCACTATTTTTGATAGTGTTCCGAAGATTGCCGAAGATCACCCGATGTGTTGATGTCCTATCGCTTGTGTTATCAGAATTTGCAAATTGCCTTCATTGCAACGCAAATCAGGCATTTCCTGCAAATTTCTGAAAACACAAGTGATATTTTACTACGACCCATTGTTGCCAACACGTACCTTTCAGTGGAATTGGTAAAAGAAACCCAAGGTCGACATCCTCTTGAGCCTGGCTTTGGTTACATGTCGAAATCACCCTACAGATAACCTTGCCCCTCATGGTGCGATCCATCCCATGGATGGTCACAATTCTCCCTGTCAGGGTGATCCTATAGCCATCTGGCATCAGCTGAGTGATTCCGTCCATGCGAATTATCTCCAGGAAAATCATTGGCTGAAAGATCTTATGAGCTCCACAGTTCAGGTCCAAAGAGCTTCCAAAAGATACAAATAAATTCCTGTACCCCTGGTAAATGGCGGACGATGGAGCTAGAAGGAAGAAACGCCATTGTTAGTTGTTACTGTACTTTCAAACATAAGCAGAAAACGAGCAACTGTTAGACGAAAGGCTGCTTTTTGCCGGCAGCATGGAACTGAAGTTGAACTGAAGTTAAACTGAGCAAGCAAACAAAATGGCGTCGTGTGGGCCCCGCTCAGAAATTTTCAAGACATTATTTATGTCCTCTTACAAACAAAATATACCTTTTTTGAAGTTCGAAATGGAAAGATAGAGGCCCAGAGGATACTTATTAATCTATTACTAACCCCTTCAGTTCTTTCTTTTAGGCAATTCGAAATTGAATATTTTCAGAAAATTATTGCATGTTAGTTTTGAGAATCTGTTGATTAATCAAGACAAGACCCTAGTGTGAATTTATCTTCTTGTTACCATGGCAATTTTTTCTCGGATTTTCCGTGTCTGTCAAAATTCGCTATGGGCTCGTTGTACTTTGGAGACCGGCAAACAATCATGATTATGCAAGCTGGTTGGTATGTCAGTCATCAGTTTAGCGATGTAATGATAATGGTAAGGAGTAATATCGGTTGATCTCTCTTGTGAAATACACTATAAGAGCCCCTACACCAGCATATGTCCCATTTCTAACTTACCTGGATTGATTGTCAAGAAAGCTTCTTCTTTTGGTGTAATCTTAACCTGCGGTGGCGCCTCACAATAGTAGATACCAGAGTCATCTAAATTCACAGCGTGGATCAGAAACGTCTGACCAAGGCGGCTGATTCTGCACCCATCCGGTTTCTTCTGCCGTGTCTTTTGCGAGATCCTCTTTTGTCTTAACTTGACTCTCACTTTAGGGTCGCTCATCCGACAGTTAAATATTACTGAGTCTCCGACGGTTTTGGTCTTCAGTTCCAGGGAATGAGTTGATTCCCATTTTACGACTTGTGCTGAAACGGCAAAGAGAATTCATGTAATTAAGCGCAGGTTCAGTAGCACCTTATCTGACTTTTGAATTCACTGGTTATCTATAAGACGTTATAATGGAGGATTGGTATTGAAAGTAGGGAGTTTAATACGGAGGTCCTCCTGGCTAGGAAGGTGGTGGGGGTGGGACTCAGGTTTGCTTGGATGTTCCCCTTTCCCTGAACAATGATCTTTTGTTCCTAAAACGGAAGTTTGCATGTAGTGGTGCCACTGAGGCCCCCTAAACTCTGACACCTGCTGACCCTTAGTTTATGACAAAAGCCGTTTTATTTCCTTGCCTTATAAACACGTTGATGTGACTCTGTTTAACATTACAATCCTGAATATAAATTGTATTCTTTTCAAGACAAGAAGCTACCTTTTTTTTCTGGTAATCAGTGAATAAATATTGAGTTGTTTTAGTTACCCTGCTTAAGAAGCGAAATAGAGACATTGGACAGCAGCCTCAATGAAAACCATGCCCTATCCGACGGTCAATCAATCTCCGTTCAGGACAAATAAGGGAGCGACTATCTTCCCAGCGGAATCGCATCAAATAAATTATTATTTTAAGCTGACAAGAAAATTTCATCTTGAGTAACAGTACAATTGTGCGGTTAGTTGGATGTTATTGTAACCACTGTTTAAATTCCGAGGAATATAGTCGGTATCATAACTTCCACGAAGAGTACATTTACCTGGAGTATCACAAGATTTCTTATCGTCTCTCCACACTAGTCCCTTTGTGCAGTTCATCCTAGTACTTATGCCACCCGAGCAAACGAGATATCCAGTGACTCTCTGCGGATCGGCAAAAGTGCCATCAAGTTCTGGGCATTCGGTTTTGTCTGGAAAAGAAAATGAGATCGACATTTCAATCATTCAGTCGTATCATCTCATCCCATCAGATGCTTAGATTTGAAGAAAAGCACAATGGTCGAGTGTATGTGTTTAATATACTGAATTACTTTTGTATTATATAACAGAGACATACAATGGAAGATTTTACAGTTCTAATTTCCTACTTAGCACTTTCAACTTGACATGGGTTGACCAAAACCCGAAATCCTGATCAGTCTCAAACACACGACACTCGTACAGGTAATATCCAGCCTGGTTCATCTGCACGTTCTTCAACTTGAGAGTGTTGGTCCATGTTTCTCCATTGAGGTTCAACTCTTTACTGACTGCTTGCTGTTGCATGGAGAGCGGCCTCGCTCGTTTGTACCACTGAACGTACGAGATTCTCGTCCCTGTAGCTTTGCATGTGAGGTTGACATTTCGACTGACACGAATCACTTTTTGCCTTGCATCCACGATCGGTTTCGGAGGGTCTGAAAGCAAATAAGAGGATATAGCATTAAGAGCGATGTCTGTAAATATCAAGCAAAATCTTGAAGTTGAAAAATCAATTTTTGTAGAAATAATGCTCGAAATGTATTTCAGCCTGTCACAGCACGCACAGTATCTTGCTTATTTCATCAAAAACACAGAACCAAGCCAATTGATAATTAATGTTCAATGCGTTTTGGTGTTCATGGCTGAAATTGTGAAGTTGGTGGCTGATACTCTAATAGCTTGAGTTACAGATATTATTTTGATGTAACACCAAATTCTCCGCAAGGAGGATTAATATTATAGACCAGAACGGGAAGCGGGTGGGGGGGGCGACGTGTGTACAAGGTCTTCCCCTTAGGGGGGAGGAGGCGTGAGTACAAGGCTTCCTCCTTACCTTTGGGACTTGATGTAACAAAGATCCTTCCAATATGCTTGGAAAAATCGTGGTTTCCTTGCTCTGCCACAAAATAAGCGCCCTGCATGCTTTTGCTGACCATGTGTTGAGTAAACTTCTGTCCGTTATTTTGCCAAGTATTTCCTTGGAGTGTACATTCCCCCAGAACCCAGCCATGTGCCACAGGGTCACGGCCACGTTTGGATCATTGAGCTCACAGCTGAGATCGACTGATGAGCCTTCAGGGACCATGCGAACATAGCCTCCGCTTTCCAATGTGCTTGAGGGGTACACCTGGCATCCACACAGTTAAAATAATATTATAAATAACTCGAAAATTGTGAAAACTAATTGAATTCGCCTGGGCCTGCTGGTTGTTCAAAACCACGATTAACCTAATCCTGGATTAGATTGAATGTTGGTTTCGGTTTTTGTAACCTTTACAGTGAGGTTTTCTGTTTGATTCTTTTGTCCCATTAGTTTTTGACTTCGACTAATGTCAAACTACACAAAACATTTGCAGTGAAAATCACTTTCATATGTAGGTTTTGAAAAACCTTGATTAGCTTTTAATCCTGGATTAGCATTAATCGGTTTTTTCGAACAACTGGCCTCATGAAAGGAGTTATGTTTAAAGACTGAATTATACGAATTCGTTATAGCTTTGATATTTTTAGCGTTCTTTTCAATTCTTGAGATTCGACCTGATATATTCCATACTGATGACGTAGCTCAACAGAGAATCCCTGTTTGTGTCTCTCATTGGTTAATTGTGTTGCTACGGTTTTTGATTTTTCATGTGCAAGTAACAGCTAATCAAAGATTAACAAGGCTAGGCTCAGTTGGTAGAGCAACGAACTGGTATCTGCGGGAAGTCATGGGTTCGAATCCCGTTGTAGCCTTTCCAGGCTAACAAAATAAATTGTTTTACATCTAATTGTATACACACTGCAATAATAATTTCATTCATTTCATGTTTAAAGTACATGAGGCTCTGTACAGTACGTCTGTACATCAGTATGGAAGTTTTTCCGGTCGAATCTCAAGGCTTTCTCTAGTCCCAGTCCCTAACTCTTCTCTTATTATAACCACCCGCCCATAGGGGACTTGAACGAGGGAAGAATTGAGTCGCGCGAAAGGTTCCGAATTTTAACTCCTCGGGCTATTAATATAACATTTTTTGCTGACTGCCATTTCTAGCAGGCCCGATTATTTTATTTTTGAGAAAGGGTATTGTCGTTTTTTCCGGTTTTGAGTGATTTTGTTATTGCGGGGGGGGGGGGGGGGGGGGGGGGGGGGGGGGGGGGCCTTATTTGGCCTGTTTTGTGTTTTTTTTTTGTTTTATATATCAGTGACTAATAACTCAAAAAACATATT